GAGCTATTCTCAACTATCATACATCATTCGAATCACCATCCGACAGTGAATAAAAGTACGTATGATTTAAGAAACTTTCATTTTCCCGCTGAGAAACGTCATCATTAGTGTAGCAAAGTCGAAATTCTACGCGTAAATCTCAATTTTCTCTATCAGAACTTAGCTGTAATAAAAATATTAACGTGATCAAAACTCGATACAAAGGCGATATTCGGAATCAGTTCGACGAGCTCTATCCAACCATGTATGTTTGAAGGAAATCTATTTTTTTGCTTACTTTTCGAATTTGGAGCACCTTAAATCTCTTAATTATATTAAACAAAGTTAAGGATATTTCAGCCGCAATTACACTAAAATTCGTATTTTTGTTGGATCTCTCCGGTACAATGATCCCGGTCGTTTGTTATATCCACCACGTCTGGTCGATGCAGGTAGAATTATTCAAGCATGATTTAAATGATTATAACATGTTGATGGTTAAGGCGTAAATATCTTTTTGATGTAAGATGCATGTTGTTTACAGGATAATAGTGTTTTCCAGCTTCTCATTTGAGCTTTAATTAAAATTCACATGACGAGTACTTTTTGTATTCTGAATATTTAAATGAAATCGAACAATCCGTCTCACACCGCTCTTTTTGTGTGACCTCGCTGTGCTTTTTTGTACAACTTAAAAGATCAATCTCATTTGTGCTTTTAGATATTCTTGCTCATATCTATGTGTCATTGTACGGTAGCTACATTTCACATTTAGAAAAGGTTAAAAAATGACAGTCTGTAGTAAAAAAAGCACAATCTTGAAGATATGATGCTACCAACCAAACAGTTTAGTTCAATTGTGCACTACAAATAAAAAAGCAACTGACCGAGATCTATATGTAGAAAAACTTTAATGGCACATTTTTGCATTTTCCATACTAATTTTTGTAGTAGGTATCTTTTTCTTGCATTTTGTCCTTTGTAAAAATTGAAAAACATCAGAGAATTTATGCTATTAACATTTTAACAAAATATATCTCGATAGAACACCATCTCACAACTGTTAGTAGATAAACATATAGAAAAAGAGAGATATTTCTCATTGTCCGTGGTTTTCTCTTTATAACCAAGTATAAACCCACTGTTGAAAAACATAGGTATATTGCAATGATAACTAAATCAGAGTGTTTACCTGGAGGGTATACCGAGACGTATCATAACTGATCTTAAAAATAAGCAAAAATGCTGGGTATATCTATCGATATACACTCTGATTTAGTTATAGCTACAATATATCTGTATTATTCTAAAATAGTTTTATATCCGGTTAGAAAAAGAAAACTACAGATAATGAGCAATATCTTTCTTGTTTTGTTTTGTTTTTCTCTTTCTGTATCTTCTAACAGTTACTAGACCTTGTCCTGCATATCTATTTTGTTAAAATGTTAATAGCGCCAATGAATTTTCTGTTAATGATAAAGGAACTTTTCAAACATCAGAATTCAATAAAATAATAACAATATGAGTCATTCCACTTAACAGTCATCTTTCATGTTTAAGTTTTGAAAAGAAGCTGTTTTCATTTGGCTTTTTCTCCTGTTTGTTACAATTAGGTTTTGAGCACATGATTGAATAGAAAAATATTTTGAAGTCATAATAATGTCATTTTAATTTAATCCTGGCTCATTCTTGAGAAAAAAAATCGAACTGCGAAGAAAACATAGTTATTTGTAAAATGCGTGATTCAGTAACGCTGACATTTTAGTTGTTTAACCGTTAATTTCGGAGCTAAGAAAAGATTTTGTTTTCAATCGATAGCCCATAGACTTTTTACAACATTGTCAACAAAATTTTCACGTAAAGAATGGAGATTAGCTTACTTTTCGACAACTCCAAATTGTTTTGGAATGACTGTTCTATTATTGGTGATTCTACAACATATTTTTCTTATAAAACTCGAATCATACATTCAAATTTAATCAAAATTATAGAGATTATTAGACAGATTTGATAAGAATTTAAGCATCCTAGCGTTTAAACTGACTGGGAAATTACAGTCAGAAGTTGTAAAAAGATGTGATTTCGTTATGATTATTTTGGCTGAATAACTGCTAATATTCTGATCTTGATATGGAAACATCAGACAGTTTTAGTACTGAGAGACATAAATATGAATTTGTTTCTGGAATTAGGTTGACTCTAATACAGGGCATGCACACACACACACAATTTACTCATAAAATATTCGTATATAAAGCAATAAGTCTACGAAAAAAACTATGATGAGCTTCTTGTTTATAAATTAAATTTAAATTGGATGTTCAATATGAAGGGAATGATCGTCTTTGAATTCTGTTTTTAATTCAGACAAATCAGCTGTTGGCCATAGTGTGACTTGTTTCCAACTAATTAGACCATTGTTATCAATCTCTACACGTAAATCATGACCATTCAATGTTAGTTTTAATTGATCCGCTTTCACATCCGGTTTCAGTTCTAAACGCATTCGAAGAATTCTTTTACCATTAGCATCCGTTGAAAGAGACGGATTCCAGGTTTTATTCTGTAAAAATTCTTCTAAGCCCATCATACCCGATCCTTGATGACCCGACTAATAAATAGAGAAAAAACAAATAAATATTAGACGATATAATTATAAAAATAGATTGATGAGAAAATCGACATAAAAAATCAAAAACGCTCTTAGTAACACGTGCGAAGACATTAAAACAAAAACAGCATTTGTACGTGTTATTATTCTACGGACCAAGATGTATGT